AATCAGTTTACAAATAAAATTCAAGCATTGTAAGTCGTTATCTGTTTATAAATAAAACTAACTACTGGGTTTTACCGTGTGCTGATTTTTGATGATGAGTGTGATGTTAGCCTTTTGCTTTTACAGCTTCATCAGTCTCAGGCCTCACTCAGGGTCTTACTTTTGTCACTGTTGGCGCAAAACTGAGCAAATGGCGTCGTTTAATGAATATAATAAATCCCTTCCATCTCTGCACAGAGAGGACGACTCACTGGCCCATGCCGCAAAAGAGAAAGCCGATCTGTTGTGCTCTCTTTTTGCGTCTAACTCGACTCTAGATGACGGGGGGAACACACCGCCGACCATCCCGCGATGTGAGTGCTCCATGCCGGATGTGCGATTTACACAGCGCTCGGTTCGCAAAGCACTCTTCTCCCTGGACGTCAGCAAGTCGAGTGGGCGCGAATTCATGTAAGACAGCTTTGGTCCACCCGATCCCTAAAAAAGGCGACCGCTCAGACCCGTCCAACTACAGGCCTATCGCCATCTCCTCCTTGTTCTCCAAAATAATGGAGTCCATTATAAATTGCCAACTCATGAAGTACCTTGAGGATCACCAGCTGATCAGTGACCGTCAGTACGGTTTTCGTCATCAGCAGGTGACCTTCTAGTTTACTTAACTCATACATGGGCGGAGACAGTAGAGTCCAAGGGGGAGGCATTGGCCGTTAGTTTGGACATAGCGAAGGCCTTCGATCGGGTCAGGCACAAGGCGCTTCTTTCGAAGCTTTCTTCCTATGGGCTTCCCGAGAAATTGTGCAAATGGATCACCAGTTTCCTTGCTGATCGGAGCATGCTCTGATTTCAAGCCTATCAACGCTGGTGTTCCACAAGACTGCGTGCTATCACCAACGCTGTATCTCCTGCATATCAATGATATGTTGCTAACTGGTAGCATTCATTGCTATGCAGACGACAGCACTGGGGATGCCTTATATACCGGCCTTGCCAATATTTCTCGGGAAAACGTCGCCAAGTACCGAGACAAATTTGTGTCTGAAGTCGAGTCTTTGCTTAACAAAGTCTCGGATTGGGGCCGACTAAATCTAGTCCAGTTCAATCCCCAGAAGACACAAGTTTGCGCGTTTACCGCTAAAAAGAACCCCTTTGTCGTATCTCCTCAGTTTCAAGGCACTCCCCTTGCTGCCTCAGCCAGTATCGGAATCCTTGGCGTCGACATATCGAACAGCGTGCAGTTTCGTGGTCACTTGGAAGGGAAGGCCAAATTGGCCTCTAAAAAGCTTGGCGTGCTCCGCAGAGCGAGACAGTATTTCATGCCGGCACATCGCTTGCAACTTTACAAAGCGCAAGTTCGGCCCCACATGGAATACTGTTCTCATCTCTGGGCCGGGGCACCCCAGTGCGAGCTCCTTCTACTTGACCGCATCCAGCGCAGAGCGATTCGAATCTTCGACGAGTTCTTTCCGATCGGCTCGATACACTGGCACTGCGTAGAGATGTTGCATCTCTTTGCGTATTTTATCGCATCTATCACGGAGAGTGCTCTGAGGAATTGTTCGGACTAATTCCAACCGCTCTATTTCACTATCGTACATCGCGACAAAACTCGCGTTACCATCCATACCATCTGGATGATTGGCGGTCCATCACTGTGCGATTTAGAATAAGTTTTCTCCCTCGCACAACTTCTTTGTGGAATCAATTACCACCAGCGAATTTTCCGAACCGAGACGACTTAGGAACCTTCAAGAAAAGAGCTTACACCTTTCTAAAAGGCCGGCAACGCATCTGCAATTCCCCTGGTGTTGCGGTTGTTCATGGGAGGCGGTAGTCACTTACCATCAGGTGAGCCGCATGCTCGTTTGCCCCCTATTCTATAAAAAAAAAAATCATTGGCCCGCTGCGAGAATAAAAAAGAGATGGAAAGTTTTTTATCTCGCTTGTTGGAGTCTGAATTTAACGGCTGTTAAGGTGTACATATTATTTACACGGAGTTAATGCGTTTTATAATTAAACATCGAAAAATCATGTTTTTTAATTATTACGGTTTAATTACTAAAGGTGCGATATGTGATTTACATGATAATACTGTTCGATAAAAACGCTTCAACGTCCCTATTCCAATTGTATTGTGTAACTAGTCATGAAGCTACTAGTGGTTCTTATTCCATTATTAACATGTAAGTATAGGACAAGATTAATTGATTCACTGGAATGTGACTTTTCACATTAAGTTTTCACATAAAAATACAGTCAAACCTGAGTTAGTCAGAACTGGGTAAGCGAGAAAACTCTGTAATTGAGAGTAATTGCCGGGTCCCGTGGCCTTAACCCTCTAAAACCTCTATAAGTGAGAAACATAATCCTTTATAAGAGAAAGTCTGCTTTTACTCGTGAAACTCTAAAACTAAAACTAGTACTTACTACAGTTGATAAGTGCCAATTGCGAAGATCCTCCTATGAAAATCCTAAAGGCCTATGTTCAGTAGTGAAATTTAACACACAATAACGGTAACGGTAATTGTAAAGAAAGGCTTAAAATGTTAAAACGAAAAATCAAAGTCTTATTTCTAAGTAATAAACATTTGAATACATTTGAGTGTGGAAAATCGCGAAAAAAGATGTCAACAGATTTTTTTAGGTAAATATTACTGTATGATTTTTTGTATGAATTTTTTGCAAATTCTAATGAATAATATTATAAATAGCGCGGTTTTCCATTTACCGGCACGGCAAAGGTGACGGCAACGGCACGGCTGCCGGGTAAGCAAAAATGTATAAAATGTATGAAATATATGGAATGTTATCCACTTACCGGCGCCGGTGACGGCACGGCGACACAGAATAAATAATAGTACTAAGCCACCGGTTTCATTGGCATTGTATATTGTGTATTGTGTACGTATTGCAGGTGTGTGCGTGTGTGCGTGTGTGCGGGCCGAATTAGAAGGTACGCGTTGAGATTGAGACTCGAAATTGACTTGTGAAATGATGAAATGTCTCCTCGTTCATGCGGAAGTAGTTGAAATATTTTTGGAGTCCATTTCCATTTTTTAAAATAGGGTATAATATGTTCCTTCTAAGTATTTTATTTTTAGGATTGGATAAATTCAAAATTTGACTTCTCTGCGTTGATATTATGTTTTCGTCTTAAATGTAGTAGATATAAAAAACATATACGATGACTTGACGAGACCATTTTTAAGTGTTGTAGAACTGAATTCTGTGTTAGTTCTGCCCAAAAACCGAGCATAGAATGGCAACGGCGCCGGCACAGTGGAAAAATGAATGTCGCCGTGCCGGCAAATGGAAACCCCCCATAAAATACATACATATGTTTATCACAACACATTTTCTGTATTTTTATAAGCGAGAAAGTTTATCTACATCTGTACCTCTATAAGCTGGAAAATCTTGTTAATAAGAAACCTCCATGAGTGAAAAAGAAATCGCGGTGCCCGCGAACTCTCGCTTATCTAGCTTCGACTACATTACATAATAAAATACTTGGCTACTAAGCACGGCTTATATTTTATTCCTGGTTTCGAATACCATTGTTTAAAAATACACATTGATGATTTTATCAATATATTATGTTTATTCATTTAAACTTCTTTTCACCGTGTATGTGATGTAAAGAAGGACTGTCGTATACGCCTCTCCCAATGAATAAATTACCATACTATTCTCACTTGGCAGTTAGTTGTAGCCATTTTAATGTATAAAAGCATACAGAGCCAGATATCAGGGCCACCAGACGTCACTTATTTTCTGACGAATGAAAAGTATATGATTGAGTAGTGTTTGTGTGTACTATGATCACATGCCTACCTGCTAGTTTGGTCAGTGGGCCATTTTCCGGGTATCAATCTCGGTTCCCTAAAAAAATTCTATCCCGCACGGTTCGCAGTCTACGCCATGATTTATAAAATTCCGAAAATTCGTACTTCTGCAGTTTAATGCTTAGATCGGATTTTTTTCTTTTAATATGTTCCCAATAATGATGTTTCTAAATTACTCTTAAATGCTTTCAACTACTATGGGTAGTATTTTACAAGACGGCACTAAACATAAGTTTAAATTTTTTACTTTATTTAACTGCTAAGTTTGAGCACCTGTGGTGAAAAAAAAACGTATAGGATCTGTGTGGCCAACTATTTAAAAAGTTTGCCTATATCATAAGGATTCTAAAACTTTAGCAAACCATGTACTTAATTTGATAACTTACTGAGCTATAGCCGTTAATGTGTAAAAGTAGGTATACCGCGAACCGTTCCGGATAGAATTTTTATTTAGAGACCCGAGGCCACCTCTCCCCTGCCCGAACACGTACGTACCAGATTATCCACCATTACTGGGACATCCTGTATATCAGCCAGACAACAATCTTACAACATTTTAAAATAAGGCATAAGTATATAACGTAGGCATATTTGTGTTATATTGTTACATTTTGTAAACCTTAAGTCAATAATAGTAACATATTTGCAAGTGCACACAAGTAGCTAAGCAAACAGAAAACGCTTTATTTCTCCGTAATATTCAACTGCTGGCTATAAACCTCTTAGACCGCTTGATTGAGAAGATTTTTCGTGATCGTTATGATTTCATATCAATATGCCAAATGTGTCACTGATCTGATTATTTTACGCTTGGCGTACAAATTCGACCTTTATACTATCGTCGTATATCATGGAATATCTATTTATCTAGCATTTCTTACAACCCTCTTTAATTTGTTTAAATCAATATCTATAATAATAATAAAACCACAACCACATAAAATCTCTATGATCTATTGACCACAAAATCCACGTACCATCAAGTGAAGTATGTACTCGTATTCACCATTACTTTTATAATTATATTTTATTTATCAAATAATTTTAAATAAACCTGAAATTTTAACATTTTTTTACTCAGTATGCTATGGCGCATCATTTAGCGTCATCCGTGGGGATAACAGTCACTACGTAGAGAGTCGAAGGAGATTTATATGGATGCCAGATGGCAAAGGGTTACCACACCGAATTGACCTAGATGAACCTGTCGATGTGGAAGTTTTAAAGACCACAAATGGATCTAGCAATCAGTACTGGCTATTCACGAGGTTATTAATTATAATTAGTAATTTTGTTATAAGGCAATGCTTAACTACAATCACACTAAAAAGTAACTTAATTTTATTCAGGACTTAAAGTAATAACACTCTTTTTACGTGGTAGAACCATGCTGCAGCTATATTAGTAGTATAGTTGTGACACGAATGGGTCGGCTCGACCGGGGAAGGACCACGCTCTCACAGAATACCAGCGTCAAATAGCAGCTTAACGCTGCTGTGTTTCGTATGGTGAGTGAAGAGAACCGGAGACCCTTTTTACTGGAAACGAGGCATTCCATCTTAGTCCTCACGGGTGACAACGCATCTGCATTTTGATTCGTAATAGAAGATAGATGTAGATGTCTATGGGCCACAGCAACCACTTACCATCAGAAGGACTGTGTGCTCATTTGTCACCCTATCCTATAAAAAAACATCTTATGTACAAAAGTTTAACTACAATAACACCTTAAGAAATACAGCTAAAACGCCAAATCAGTCAGTCCTGTCTTTGAATTTATCAATTTTTTTTAGACGTAATCCTACAGAAGCACAATTACTTGTTTACGGTAACCCTGACTCGGTGAGAAACTCCAACTACAAGCGGAATCGACCACTGAAAGTGATCGTCCACGGCTGGCTAGGTGATGGAAATGCAGACGTAAACAAACGTGTGACTTCCGCTTTCCTAGATACCGAAGACGTCAATGTAATTGTCGTCGACTGGCGAAGATTGGCATTTGCAGGCTACTTTACATCTGTAGACGCCATACCTAGCGTTGGACAGTATATTGCCTACTTTTTGATTTGGCTATTTAACACTGCTGGTGGTAACTGGAACAACGTCCATTTAGTCGGCTTCAGTCTTGGTGCTCATGTTGTGGGTAACGTTGGACGTACCGTCGATGGCAGACCTAGACGTGTTACCGGTTAGTCAAGCTTTAACCAATTTAAGAGGATTATTTATTTATAATTATTTATTTTAAAATATTTATTTCTTTAACAAATTCATGCAGTAATCGATACAAATAATTTTAGGTCTTGATCCGGCTGGTCCTGGATTCCATGACAATTCAAAAGCCTTAAACGTCAACTCTGGACGGTACGTCGAAAGCATTAATACCGATGGTTGGCGCTTCGGAATCATGGATCCTATTGCGCATGCAAACTTTTACCCCAACGGCGGCAGAAATCCTCAGCCAGGTTGCTGGTTCAGTACCTGCTCGCACAGTCGGGCTTACGAGCTCTTTGCCTCCAGTGTACGCACAAACCACTTCGTTGGGAGACGATGCAACAACCTAAATGAAGCCGAAAACAACCGATGCTCTGGTGATATTCTGAATATGGGAAATGACAATATGTCAAAATCTGGGTAAATATACATTGATAGATAAATAGTATATGTCTCGGTCGTTGGTTTTTCGAACTATACGGCCAGCCCATTGCCACTTCAGCTTACTAATCCGTTGGGCTATGTCGGTCACTCTGGTTCTACTACAGATATCCTCATTCCTAAGTTTATCACACAAACAAACTCTAAGCATAGCCCTTTCCATAGATCACTGAGCGACCTTGAGCGTCCTCTTAAGGCCAGCAGTGAAAGACCACATCTCAGATCCATAAGTAACTGGCAACACGGACTGGTTGTAAAATTTCGTTTCCAGGTTTTGAGGTATAACTGACGAAAAGATGTTTCGTAATTTCTCGAACCCTGCCCAACCGAGTTGAAGTTGAATTTACCCAATCGGACGTGAGTATGTGTCAGCCTCGTACCGGTAGGAGAGGTGTACGGCGACCCCCCCAATAGATGAAATGAGGACCTGGTAAGACATGCAGGCAGTCGATGGATGCAGGTGGCTCAGGACCGTGCTTTGTTGCATAACTTGGTGGAGGCCTATGTTCAGCAGTGGACTTGTCAAAGGTTGTAATGATGATAGTGATAATATATGTCTACTATACAAATTTTTCTTCATAATTAAAGGTAGACATTTTTCAAACAAATTATAATTAATTAAAATATTCATCATTCATTTTACATTATCAAAAAGCCTTATTTTAACATGGGCTTGTCCTATTGATTGTCTCATAGGGAGAAGATTTGCCATAATTGCCACGCTTGGCAGGCGGATGGGCAACTTTTATTGTTCATTGTTTTATTGGCAAAACTTTAATATGTCTGAATGTATATCTATTAAAATCTCGAAGTGCTGATTTACCATCTACTCGGCAGTGAATGAAAACTTTTTGAGGAAACCTGCACGAGGAGTAAAATATTTCGAAGAGAAGTCTGCCACCACTAACTGGAGCACCGCGGCTGACTAATCGGCCTGTAACCCTCTCAAAAATAACAGAAGGCCGATTTTCAGCAGCGAGGCGATTGTAGGCTGCAATTCGATCCTACCATTTTCTTGCTGTTTCTTTATTTAAAAAGAAATACGTTACCCTCACTCTAGGATTTTCGCCTATAGGCGCAATATCTTTACATAATTTCATAAGGACAGACATCCAGACCTGGAACGATTATTCGTTGGCCAATACATGTTCCGTGCGGGATTTTTAATTATTATTTTTCTATATTTACTTATATATTATTATTATTATTTAATTCATTACTTTAGGTATATGATTAATACTTAAAAAGGTTTGTAAAAGTTTAATAAATGTCTCAAACTCTTGTTTTTGTTTCGAGTTGATTTGATCAGTTGCAAATTTTATAACTTTTGTATTATTTTGTTTTATGGAATGCAATAAAGAATCTATGCATATAATAAAATTAATAGAATCAGGCGTTACTTTGCGGAAATCCATTATATAAAAGCTTTTACAAAAATTTACTTCGCAAGTATCCGCGTTATAAAATAAAATGATGTGTCTTACCTAGTATAAAGAGCACCTCCCGCCCTCCCTCAATTGCGTGCACTATCCCCGTCACCACTAATCCCAACACCGCTACTCCCAACACCACTACACTAGGCAATGTGTCTTAGTTGCAAATTGCAGATGTTTGTATATTTTACATTTTTGTGATAAAAATTATTGAGAAGGTATGAAAATAAGTAATTAAATACATATCTATCATTTTTAGAATTATCTGTGTGTCTGTCTATTTATTACCGTATCACGTCAAAATTACTAATGTTTTAGTAAAGAATCTTTAAGAAAATTGTAGGCATATCTTTGAGAAACATTTTATTTAATTAAAATTTGTTAATTTCATCAAAGTTATGACTATTATACTGAAATGTAGGCACGAACTTGCTCAATGGTAGAGTTGTCTCGTCAAGTATACATTTTAATCTAATCTCAGAAATCCTATTTATATTATGTAAAATAATGTTCTTTCATGATTTAATTATACTTATAACACATTATACAAAATGACAATATATTTTCTCACAAACACCATTTAAGTTAAAGAGGTACAATAATTAACCAATGTTAACGATAAATGGGACTGTGCGAATGTGATGCAGTAAATGTATTTTCATAACTAGGTACAGCTGATCTTTATATGACTCAAAGGCGGAATAACTAGTATAGCAATGTAAATTTAATTATATATTTCTAAAAATATATGGAAAACGTTGTGATAGAATGATCATGAAATCAAATATATAAGTTGTACCTTTTTTAATAGCGCCTATCTATTACAAGGACAAAAGTAAAATGTTCAATTTCAATTATAAAGTATCCTAACAGCCTTTATACGTTCTACTGCTGAGCAGTAATTTTTATATTTTTGAAAAGTTTTCCTGTTGGAATGGTATCGCGCTGAACTACAGCATGCTGACAAAGTTATTTATTTTGAAAAGTTGGTGTTGCTTAAGATGTCTTTCTTCACCACCGAGTAAATGGTAAATCAAGTTTTAAAAATACTTTTTTTTCTTTCGGTTAAAAATGGTCATTTTGAGACGGCATCCAATCGCGTTCGAGCTGGCGCGTCACCCGATGGTATGTAGGTGAGGTAAACGCCGCCAGGTGGGGCGGCCGTGTGCGGCTTGCAGTGGCTCGACGCGTGGGCGAAGAGGCGGTAGCTCGCTGGCCGCGATGCGGTCAATCCGCGTATCTCGGTTATCGCTGCCGAAGTTCACACGACCGGTGTGGGGTCCAGATGGTCAGATTTAGTGCGTGTTACTTGGCTACGGAATTGTGTTTCGTGAAAACCGCCTCGGATTAGGTTGTCTAGGGTTTCAGTTCTGGACAAGAGGCTTTTATTGTGTTCGACTAATTAAAGTAACTTCTTTGAAAGTAATTGTGAAAATTGTATAGTGATTGCGTTTGAAGTGAATTTTACAATAATTAACTTGCTCGGGTGACTCGGAATTTCGCACGCGCGCGCTGATTAGATATACGGTCTAGGATTCGAACCGCGCATTCCTTGTTCGAGAGCGTCTCCCGGTTGATTGTCTGGAAATCATTGTAATTGTGCCGTCGCGTTAAGTACCATTTTTTGTGTGTTGGCTGGTTTGTTAGTTTTCGTGTGAACGAGGCGTATTTTGAATTCTTATCGCGGCGTGGTGTTTGAGGTCGAACGAAGGAACTTAGTTGTATTTAACGCTGAACCGTGTGACTCATGAAGAGATCGCGTTAGTTCCCTATTTATAATATGGCGATAAGTGAATCCGGGACATTGAATGTTGAACTTTTCTTATATTCTTTTTTTTTAAACGTGGGGGTACCACACTAGGTTTTTCTCCTGTGTCGTGGAGGCAGTTTACAAACATAAATTGCACAAGGACAAACATCCAGACCCGGAACAATTATTTGTAGGCCATACAAATACTTGTTCCGTGCGGGATTCGAACCCGCGGCCCCCAACGCAACAACTGATTGCTAAGCCACTGCGCCACGGAGCCGTCTACTGCGTCTACTTTGACCTACGAGTCGTACTGCGTGTTAGGCTTTATAATAAACGGAAATTAGTTAAACGTACAATGAAGTTAATAGACTGAAATAGTAACAATGAAGAAAGAAATGGTCCAGCGGTGGAGCCTGCTGGAGCGATGCAGCATTGTGGGGCAGCCTGGAATTCGACCGCTGCTGATCACCTAAGCTGGTCCAGGTCACATACACATCACTAAACACTACTTGCCATGCACCTTACACCCACTTACGGCCTGACCGAGCCTTGGTGCGATCTTAGAGTCGGAAACAGGTACGTACTATATTTTCCTAGCATTCTCCCATATAGTTTAGTATGATAGGACATTTTTTGATGTGGCCATTTGGGGCCCGACCTGCGGCTGCTCGTTGAATCTTCCGCTCATGATCCCCGGAATTCGGAACTTTGTTAGCGTGATTTAGGCTTCGATGTGTTTCGCTTGTGGCGCGACGACAGCGCCGCCACACATACACACCACACTTACACTATACACATACTACATATATACTTTATAAATACATACCCTCACTTAACATTTAATAGCGGCATGTCATTTTAAATCCAAATTAATGTGAATTTTTTCGTTTAATTACTAAAAAAATTATAATATTTTTATACTTACTACTATATTTATATAAAAAACTGACTGAATTGAACTGAACTCCTATTTCTAATGATACCTTTATTTTGGATAATACGCATATAGGTCGGAGAAAAACTTTCTTTGTATTTTGTTTGTATAAAATTGCAGAAAAATCTCTTTGGTTTTGGTACTGTTTGTATCTACATATAGAATATTAAGAAAAGGACAAATAAAAAGTAAGAAACACTATCCCGCCGTTTTGAAATTGTTTTTCTGTCCACCAAAATGAGTGAATCTAACGAAGAAATTCGATACATTATGAAAGTTTATTACAAAAAAAGGAAAATACGACTCAAGCCGCGAAAAAAATGTTTGACGTTTATGGACCTAATGCAATAATCAAGGAGTAGTTCGAAGCTGGTTCAAGCGTTTTCAGTCCGGTAATTTTGATGTCAATTATGCAGCTCGCTTTGGTCACCCTTATACGGATAAAATCGATGCAATTTTTGAAAAAGTAGAGCAAGATCGGCATATTAGTAGTTACGACAAAGCCGAGCAATGAAACCCGACCATTTTTGAAAAGGTTGATCACTGATGATGAAAATTGGATCACCTACGGCACGAACGTGCGAAAAACCTCACGGTCAAAGGTTATTCGAGTTTCACAGACTGTAGCGGAACCCGGACTAACACGCAATAAGGTGATGTTGTGTGTATGGTGAAATTGGAAGGAGAGTTTTGCTATAATTGTGACTTTTAGCAGACAGATTGACGATCGCAATATCATTCTTTCAGTCGTTCTAGGTATTTATGTCCGTATCTATGTATAGTATAACTATAATACGATATACTATAAGTGTAACAATAATACGATTATCGTTTGAGTTGGAACAGTGGTCATATACTTAATA